ATAGATAGATGATAGATAGATAGATAGATAGGAAGTTAATCTTACTGGATTTTTGCATGAAGATATTGTCTTATATTGAGACATTTGCTAGGAATGAGATTCTCCATTGATCTGTAGCTCATCTTATTCATGCAAGGAGAGCGCAGCATTTTGCCCTGTGTGCAGTTCAGTCTACATTGAACATAACATCGCACAAGATAAGAGACAACCTAATGCTTGCCCATTGGTCTATCCACTATCAGCTTTAAAAAGGGGGAAATGAAACCTATTAAAATCTCTTAGGCCTCTTTGAACAAACAGACTGGAGCTGGATGGGAACCATAAGATTTATGTTCTTGCCCGTGGCCATGGTTCTGCTGAACGGATGAAAAGGAGCAGAGATAAGGGCCAGCAAATTCCCATTTCATTTAAGAAATCAAAGGTTTGTTCACATTCCCATTCAAACTATGAGAAGGATAACCTGTAGGCAGGAAGAAGGATTGTATAAATTGGGCAGGCATTTGCAGCAGTGTAGTTCTGCCAAAGTTAATTGTTGTAGTTTTGAAATTAATCTGGTGTTGTGAACATACCAGCCAGCCGAGTACCCTATATTTTATTGTCCGTTACCATACCCATTCTCATGTTTATTCCAGTTATCACTTACATAGCAGTCAAATTTTATGCTGGTTAAGGCTGAGATGTACTTTCCATGTTACTTCTGCAGAATATATAGATTTAAAGGTAGATTCTGTAAATTTATACCCTCGTTAAAAAAAATAACACTGGGCTATTGCTTATTTAGGTGCTAATAATTTCATGTCCGGAATGGATGGGCAATCCTTGTAGATCATTTAGATGCTGATAGGCAAAAATAGTACATTTCACTGCATAGAAGGGAAATCCCACAGAACGGTACTTTAGAAGCCGATGTCCGCTTCTTTAATAAATAGATTATTTCAGGGAGTATGGTGGGTTTTTATGGTGCTAAAAAGTAAAAAAAGAAAACAGGCAGCCCAATGCTTCTTGGCTGCTGCTTCTGCTGCTACATGGAATTAGCCAATACATGTAGACTAGGGTAATGCCACCTGGCAGCCATTTGGAATATGCTTCAGCCTGGTGATCTAACCTGGCAACAGTTGTCTTTCTTGTTATTAGATCATTCGCAGTCTTTAAGACTCACAGAGACACATTTTGTTAAACAGCAAAAACAACAAAAGAGTCTTGTGGCACCTAGAAGTCTAACAAATTTATTATGGCATAAGCTTTTGTAAACTACATTCAACACTCCAAAAGATGTACCCCTTCACTTCAGTTGTTTACAGGTGGACCAACATTGTCCCAACCTTGCTAGCCCAGAACTGATATGGTGTTTTGGGGGTTTTTTTGCTGTATGATTAATACAGAGATCATCTAATAAAGTTTCTGCTGCATATTTATGCCTTCATATGTCATACAAATTTAGATGACCTCCATGGGATATCAAGCATTCATCAGTTTTTCCCCCACTATCAAAACTGCTCTTTGAAGAAGTTAAAGAGTCCACCATTAATGTTTGGAATAGAGATGGGGAACCTGTTGCCCTCCATATCTTGCTGGGTGACAACTTCCTTCAGCCTCAGTCAATGCAGCCAATAGTCAGGGATGAGTGAACTTCTAATCCGAAACCTCTGGAGAGCCACAGGTTTCCATCCCTGGTCTGGTGGGGCAAACATTCATAGTTTGTCAGGTATGTTTTAGTACTTGAAATATGAGATCGCAAGACTAGCACTAAGGCAGAATAGTCAGAGCTTCATGTTGCCTCTATTATGCATGTAGTCATTTTAACACAAACACAGATGAATGTTGTATGTTCCAGGGGGTTGACTTTATGAAATTTTATTTCTTCCTTTCTCTGGGAGCCTAGTCTGTTTCCTTCCAAAATATTTAAATTTGGTTGGTTGCAGGGAGAGGGGAGGAGAGACATCAATACGGACTTGCTAAAAGAAACATTTCATAGATGTTGGCCAGTGTCCTTGCTTGGGTTGCCAAGCATTAGGCAACTGGTAGGTTTAATGTGCCCCTCCACCCTCCAGATATTAAAAGCAGAAGGGAAACTCAGTTCCCAGTTTATTTTGTGGTTTGGTCCTCATTTCCGTCTGATTTTAATTCATTTAACACAGAAATGGGGAACTTGTGGCCCTTCTCCTAGATGAACTCAAACTTCCATGGGCCCTGGGTAGCATAGCCAATGGTCAGGGATGATAGGAGTTGCTGTCCAAGAACACATAGAGTGCTACAGGTACCCCATCCCAGATTTAACAGATCTGGCTTATTTAGCATATTCCTCCCATCTCACATGTTCAGAGCTTGGAATCCAGAGTTAGGTGCTACATGAATATCTTTTTCAACTCTAGATCCCAAGATCTGAACTCACAAGCGTCCATAATCCAAACCAATTACAGTGCAATCTTCTACATGTTTACTCAAAAGTAAGTACCACTTTGCTCACTAGGACATACTCCCAAGTAAATGGTCATAATACTGAACTCAATTGGCTGCCTTCTGAGTAAACACACATCCACCAGCAGTTCACAGATGAAAAGAGGGACCACAGCTTGACACCCTCCACCTCACTCATATGTATGGGGAGGGGGAGGTTTTCCTCCAAATGTGGCATGTTTGATCAAGTTGTTTAATTGCTCAATAGATCAAATTGTGCTTATTATGAAACAGTTGCCATTTACACACTGTCTGCAACTTTTTATATGTGAGTTTGGAAGTTAAGCAGAACTTGCATTTTTTTGTTGTCCATGTACACACATGTACATGTAAGATGTATGTACTTCCTTCCCTTCATACATTTAATTTTTAGAGACCTGGGACTGGGGACTGAAAAACTCAAGTGCCTATATGTGTGCGCACTTATACACTTTTAAAAAGTGTATTCAATGTCTCCCAAGAGGATAATAGGAGGATTTACCAGGAAAAACTGGTAGCATACATACAGATACATTGACTGGACTGGACTGTGCCACTCTCAGCAGAAAAGAGATGTTTTATTTGATATTTATCGAAGATGGGTGTTGATTCATTGTTTTATGGTTTGGTGGTATCTAACCCACTCAGAATCAATAGCCGACTCCCATGCAGCTGAACAATGAATCTTCACCATGATGCAACAGTACCTAGCATTTTCTGAGTGTGTTTTGGTGTGCAGAGAATATTTTTTAATGGAAGATTGCTGTAGAAAATCTTTCTAGAGCATGCACACATGGCCTCAGGCCTTAATGAGTTCCTTTTCTGAGACAGCATCTTAAAAAGCAGAGATATCACCTTGCCGACAAAGGTCTGTATAGTTAAAGCTATGGTTTTCCCAGTAGTGATGTATGGAAGTGAGAGCTGGACCATAAAGTAGGCTGATCGCCGAAGAATTGATGCTTTTGAATTATGGCGTTGGAGGAGACTCTTGAGAGTCCCATGGACTGCAAGAAGATCAAACCTATCCATTCTTAAGGAAATCAGCCCTGAGTGCTCACTGGAAGGACAGATCCTGAAGCTGAGGCTCCAATACTTTGGCCACCTCATGAGAAGAGAAGACTCCCTGGAAAAGACCCTGATGTTGGGAAAGATTGAGGGCACAAGGAGAAGGGGATGACAGAGGACAAGATGGTTGGACAGTGTTCTCGAAGCTACCAACATGAGTTTGACCAAACTGCGGGAGGCAGAGGAAGACAGAAGTGCCTGGCGTGCTCTGGTCCCTGGGGTCACGAAGAGTCAGACACAACTAAACAACTAAACAACAACAGCGCTCTCAGAAAGCCAGCAAGGGCAATCACCTTTGGACAACAGAGTCTAGATTCAGTTCTTAATCCAGCTCTGGTCACACAACAGAAGTTTCCTTTTCCACCACCCATCAATGCCATTTACTCTCTCTCATTCAGGAAATCCTAATTACACCTTTTCCAGCAGCCCAGGAAACGCAGGAGAACTGAGTAGGATGCCAAGTAAACAAGGATTAGTAGGTAGCAACCTCCCACCGCCCCCGAAAGCACACCATGTCCCAGGCCTCTACTTAAACTGGATAATATACAAATCCCCGTGGCTCTCATTTGCAGCCCTGCACTAGGGACAAAGAAGCCATTGGGATCCTAATGGGATGTTTATTGAAAATAACTGTGGGAAAGGGATAACCTAATTAATTGCTGACCCAGCAACAGGCACACACCCCCAATCCCATCCTGCCAATAAAAATCTGTTACCTTAGCAGTTTTGGGTGACTGCAAAGATTTCCCATTAGAGCTAACAAGATAAGCAGTCTGAGGCTGTGTCCTTGTGGAAGCGGAAAGCTTTTAAGAGCCATTAACACTTTAACTCTCTCTCACACACATAAGCTTTGACTAATGACCCAATCCCCTTTTATCCTCCTGGGAAAAGGCCCTTCAGCAGGGTGAAGCCTAGCATAACCTTCAGGCCTCTCCTCGGGTAATTTGCATACCCTCCAACATTTCTCCGGTGAAAATAGGGATGTCCCATTCCATAATGATAATTTTACTATTTATACCCCACGCATCTTACTGGATTCCCCCAGCCAGTCTGGGCAGCTTCCAAAATATATAATAATATAATAAAACATTAAACATTAAAAAAGCTTCCCTATACAGGATTGCCTTCGGATGGCTTGGAGGGGGTCAGATAACTCCATACCCTCCAACATTTCTCCAATGAAAATAGGGACATCCTAAGGAAAAGTGGGACATTCAGGGATCAAATCAGAAACCGGGGCGGCTTCTCTAAATCAGGGCTGTCTGTGGAAAATAGGGACACTTGGAGGGTCTGAATTTGGTTTAGAGCAGAAGCAGGCTAGGACAGGCCTGTACCACTTGTAACCTACCCAGCCACAACACAACCCGCCAGGCATGTGTGGCAGAGGGGGCTGGTGCTCACTGGGCAGAAGGCAAGGAAGCCCATAGATCATAGAACTGTAGAGTTGGAAAGGACCACAAGGGCCATTAAGTCAAACTACCTGCAATGCAGGACTCTTTTGCCCAGTGTGGGGCTCAGACCCATGACCCTGAGATGAAGAGTCTCATGCTCTACCAACTGGGCCATGCACCATGGTAGGTGGAGCCAGAGCCGACGACAGGCAGAAACTGTCAGGAGCTCATCCTACACTCGAGTAGGACCCTGGCAGAGACACATGCCTGACTGGCATGTTCTCTCCCTCCTGGTCGATCGTTCGGGAGCTTCAAAAGCTTTCTTCAGCCCGAACATCACAGCGACCGATGCCAACAGACATTGGCACACTTAGGGATCCGCAGAGTCTTCGCAGCTTGCGTAACAGACCTCAGCAACTTAGCATTTTGGCTAATCTACTTTATTTACATATAAACACATACAGAGCACTGCAACATGGCTCCCTCTCTCTCTAGCATCAGAGAGCAAAGAGAAAAAGAACAAAGGACAATAGTCCCACTTCACAGAACACAGTAATACAAACATCCTGTCTCCGTCGCTTCCCACTCTGTGGAGTCAAAATATATACCGTCATGTGACAGACAAAATCCAATGGCTGCAATCATGGAGCAGGAATTCTAACAGAAACAACTCATTCCAGTGTTGTTTCCATCCTCTTCCCTGCCGAGTTCTCCAAGGGCAACACTGGGATTGAGATGGAGGAAGCCAGCAGGCAGTGGACTGGGGCAGTGTTCTGTTTGCCATAATGGACCAGCCATCTCTGATGTACAGGAGCTTGCCTGGGTTCTCCAGCACATACCACACACCACCCATGTTTGTTGTTTTTTTTTTCTGGTAGGGTAACCAGCTGCAAAAATGGACAGGGTTCATATACCTCACCTTGGGCCTTGCCAAACTCACAGGGTTGTGAGAAAGAAAGGGAGACAGCCTGAAGGGGGATGACATTTGCCCCCCCCAACCCCGGGAAGGATCACGGCCCTGCGCTGAGATCAGCCTCCGGGGAGGATCGCAGCACAGAGCCCAAAATCAGCACCCGGCGAGGATTGCACAGATGTGCCGATCGGCCCCATGGGCGGATCGCCCTGCCCCTTGGGCAGATCACCCCGGGTGCACGGCATGTGTGCCACTGCGGGTGCCAGAGCATCCAGCTCCACCACTGCGTACAAGGAATGCTTCATGGGACACCATCCAAGTAGGATCAGAACCACCACAAAGCATTGCTGCCCATTCCCAACTCAGAGAGCTGCTCCAGAAGAATACCATGGCTGATGATATCAAAAGCCACTGAGTAACCTAGGAATATTAACAGGGATACACACACCCTGCCTCTCTCCTGACAAAGGTACAGGGTGACCAGGGCAATTCCAGGCCTAAACTCCAATTGAAATGGAACTAGAAAATCCAGTTTCATCCAAGAGAACCTGGATCCTGCCTACAACCATGTCTGGTTGTTTGTTTGTAATAAAAAAGTAAACATATCAAAGTAATAGTGGTGGAGAGGAAATGGAAGCAGTTAAAACTTTTCATATTTCCCAGACGACAAGCTACACCTGCCAGAATTCCTTCTACACAGGGTGGTTGAACCTGCGGCCCACAGGCCACATGCAGCCCACAAGGCCTTTTCAGCAGCCCTCAGCAAAATTCAAGAAAAAAAACACACCTTTAAGCTTTAAAATCAATTTCTCGTGTTGTACGTGGTTAATTAAAGCGCATCTGCATGTGTATTAAATTTGTTTAATAATTAAATATGTTAGTTATTAAATGTGTACTTAATTATAAAGATGCAATTTACTATATTAATTGTGTATATTAAATAATATTAAATATATTGCAAACACTTTAATTTACGATGTAGAAATTTAATTCCGTGTGTGGCCCTGGGTCCTGTGCTTATGCATTCTTGAGCCCTACTTGGAATGAAAAGTTGGGTCACCCTGGTCTATAGAGTTAATGACTTCTTTTAAAAGAAGGTAAGAGAGAGCTAGAGACAGAGACTGCCCAGAATCCTGAGCTGGTACCCTCACCATGCCTCTTGCTTGTGGCTGTGTGTTACTATAGCAACTAGCGGGATCCCTCTGTCTGAAAAATTAGAGCTAAAAATAATGTATGTCAGTTTTCACCTTGATTGCTACGTCTCCCTCTCTTTGCTTTTCCAAGGCTTATTTTCACTGCATGTTCTTTGCCTGGCAACATTAACCTTTAAGCTACATATGTGTTAACAGTAGGGCAATGGTGGCTAGTGCATGACCCTCTAGATGTTGCTAGACTGCCACTCCCATCATCTCTGACTGTTGATGCTGCTGGTTGGGACTCATGGGAATTGGAGTCCAGCAACACCTGATTTTAGCCACTCATGGGAGTAGGGAACCCAGCCACTGGCCCTGTGAACTTCACTTAGCGATGCTTGGACTTTATGAAGAAACTTTGCCTTGGTTCACACATAACACTATACTATGGCTTATTAAACCATGGTTTAGTGTTGTGCACGAACCCTTCCCTGCAGTGTAACTATAGTGTTTTTACTGTCAGCAAACCACAGACAGAACCCATGGTTTGACTAAGGAAGCTTGGTTTACTTTAATTATAGCTTGGTATTATATATGAACTCAGCACCCTTCTTTAATCATGATTGGTTTGATCACCCCACCCTAGACACTCACTAGCTACAAAGGCACAAGACAAGAACTCTTGGAAAATAAGCCAAATTTTGGAGAAACAAGCCATGGTTTATTTGACTGCCTGTGGGACAACTTGTGGTTAATTGGTAGTTTCTTAAACCATGGCTTAAACAAACCACAGTTTAGTGTTACGTGCAAACCAAGTTACAGTCCTACCTCGTGTTGCGTTAGGTTCATGTTGTGTCTTTTCGGCTTGTGAACGCAGCAAACCCGGAAGTGTATACTTCCAGGTTTTGCCGCGCGTGCACAGACATAAACGTTCTGCGCGCTTCGTGCATGCGCAGAAGTGTTCTGCATGCTTCACACATGCGCAGAGGCGCTCTATTGCGCTCTGTGCTTGCACAGAAGCTCCACTCTAGTTGTGGACTTTTTGGGGTGCAAATGGCACCCTGGAACACATTGTGTCCGCAACTAGAGGTACCACTGTATTGTCAGCTTTCATTATATAAAATCAGCACTTCATAAAATCATAGAATTGTAGAGTTGGAAGTATAGTCCATGGCATATCATTTAAATGTAATGATTAAATTCCATAGTATTTAAGCAAAAGTAGTGGAACAATTTCTGTCTCACAAGTTTGGTTTTGGCTACTGATTTCTGAACATTTCTGTAAGTGTTTGTGTATGATCAAATAGACAGCCAGCATCAGCTACCATTGCACAGTTTTAATACAGTGGTTTAGCCTAAAATGGTCACTTCATAACTGGAAGAAACAGCGTTGGTCTTTCTCTCTTGATAGCTCCCCTCCCCGGCACTCCTGTTTTGTATGAGTCTGCAGCACAAGGTCCCTTGTGTTAATTGAATTGGATTGTGTTCTCTGTTCTGCATGTGATAAATTTAACTGATCAGAGCACTGACTACCACACTCTCCTTAGCAGTTCAAAGCAGGTGTTTTAGATCTGAAATGTTGCACATGGCCTATGTCTTTTGATCGCCGGCAGCTCCTTTCTCAAGAAATGTGCGCTCAGCATTCCAATACCAACCATTTTGGAAAAGGACTTAACCCCCGCCCCCAACAACTAATAACAATCAACAACACACCCTTTGCACAGCTGGCACTATATTAACATTCTGTTTGGATTTTTTAGGGTCTGGCCTGATCCCTGTGGCGCAAAAGGAATTCCCAGCATTTGCTTCCTTAGCCTGCCTTCAGACTAGCATTGAGCGCTGCATGCTTACCAGCACAGGAGCTTCATGGAAGCAGGGCAGTGGGCAGGGTTAGGTGGACAGTAGATACCTATTTTAAGTTCCATGCCTTCGTTATAGCACCCGAAGTGGGAGGAAAGAGAACAGAGGCATTAGGAATAGGTTGTCAGCATGTGGGGAAGCTGAAGGGTATAGCTCTTCCTAGCAACTTATTCTGAACCTAGTGAAATTAATGGGGATTGGCTGCATGGACTACAGAAGTCAAGGACTGGGGATGAGGGAGAAAAAATGTTTTCTCTCCTTCTTGGGGGCAGCATGCAGGGAGGAGAGAGAGAGAGAGGAATGAACCTTTGAGGCAAATAAAAATGGTAAGTGGTTCATTGGAGGGCAGGGGGATGTTACAGAATCAAAAAGACACAGTAGAGTAATGTTTTTACAGACTAGGGATGGATGCACCTGTCAATTTTTATTTTTCTCAATTTTCCATTTTCCCATTCTTTAAATTCAGTTTGCCACACCTCCATATCAGTTTGCATTTTTCCTTACAAAACAATCCTCACAAAAATTCAGCAGCATTTTGACGCATGTTTCTCCCAATACATACGTTTCTGCAAAGTTTTCCCCAAAACAATGCATTTTTGTACTTTATTTACACTAATATATTCAGTTTTGTATGCACACTTTGTATGCATACTGTATTTATTTATTTGTTTATTTTGTTAGAGAACTGAATTGCAAAATTCAGAGAAGGGGAAAATTTGAAAGATAGTTGCATTAAATATAGGTAGCTGCAAATTTCTTTGGGGTGACCAGCTTTCTATGACTCTTCATCAGGCTGAATGTTAAGCAAAACAATGGGTGGGGGAAGGCTTTCCTTAATTAATTGAATTCATTCATTCATGTAGGAAAACGAATTGGGAGGAGTGGGAATCACACTGCTTATTCCCTATATGTAACGAACTTCCTACATGTGACGTCATGTCACATTTGGGAGAAGGATCCTTCCATAATGTTTGTGAGCAGGCAACAAAATATGATGAAGATGATTACATTTATACCCCACCTTTCTTCCATGGACCTCAAAGTAGCATATGGTTCCATTCTATTATCCTCACAACAACCCTGTGAGGTAAGTTAGGCTGAGAGGCAGTGACTGGCTTGAGTTTACCCAGTGAGCTTCATGGCTGAGTTGGAATTTCAATCCTGGTCCCCCAAGCCAGGTGCCAATTTAAAATTATTCAAAACAAGATGTTGGGTGCTTTGCCAAAGTAAAGGCCAAGAATGGAGTTGTATAGAGCAGGCATAGGCAAACTCGGCCCTC